TATTAAAGACTCATACCAATTGTGGACAATGCTTTTGGCTGATTGGATTCTTTTATGCACATGGGATAGAAACAGAAGCAGATCTTGGACAAGCTGTTCAATGGTATCAACAATCAACAAAGACAGGCAATGCAATGGCACAATGTAATCTTGGTATTTACTATTACTATGGAACAGGAGTGGAAAAGAATGTTCAAAAAGCAGCAGAGCTGTTTCAGAGAGCAGCTGAACAAGGACATGCTAATGCACAATTTAATCTCTGTTGTTGCTATGAGAATGGGATAGGAGTGGAAAAGAATATTCAAAAAGCAGTTGAGCTGTATCAGAAAGCAGCTGAACAGGGACATGCCATGGCACAATATAATCTTGGTCTTTGCTATGAGTATGGGAAAGGAGTGGAAAAGAATATGCAAAAAGCAGTGGAGTTGTACCAGAAAGCAGCTGAACAGGGACATGCCAATGCACAACATAATCTCTGTTGTTGCTATCAGAATGGGATAGGAGTGGAAAAGAATATGCAAAAAGCTGTTGAGTTGTGTCAAAGAGCAGCTGAACAAGGCTATTTTATGGCACAAAGTAAGCTTGGATTTTTTTATGAGACTGGAACAGGAGTGGAAAAGAATATTCAAAAAGCAGTTGAGCTGTATCAGAAAGCAGCTGAAAAAGGACATCCTAATGCACAATATAATCTTGGTCTTTGCTATGAGTATGGGGAAGGAGTGGAAAAGAATATTCAAAAAGCAGTTGAGCTGTATCAGAAAGCAGCTGAACAAGGAGTTGCTGAAGCACAAAATCAGTTTAACTTACTCAAAAATAAATAATTTACCAACTGTTTGAAGCTATTAAAATGTTTAAAAACAATGTGTTTTGGTTCTATCATACCAATATTATTATTTTATTTAAATTCCTTGATTTCATCAGATTGACTTACACATACAAAGGGCCATGCCTTAGCCATTTACTTGACATGTCTATTGCAAATGTTGACCTGACTCTACTCTTAATTAAATTTACATAACAACAGTATTATTATCATATCATTCTATTATATTAGAACCTTATTTATATCTATGACATGTATGGTTATCAAAACAACAAAGAAGTCCTTCTGTTTCATTTAGCAAGAGCTATGAGCACCTATCTCCTCTTTAATATTAACTTACTTGCTTGCCAAATCTGTCAGGGAAGATAAGCTGACAAGCACACCTTTAAATTTATGGTAAAAAATTTGTTTACCATTACCATATTAATCTGCTCATCATGTAGCAGATATCATCAACAACATACTAATACTTTTTTGCATTGCATTAACTTGTCCAAGATTGCATGTACATCATGGTAGAACACAAACTAGTACTCTTGAGTAGATGGCTCTTGTGTGATTCTGAGCATCCAAATATTCTCTGGTGTTAATATTTCGGGTATTCCTTACTTAGCTGTTTGAGCAAATAAAATACAGTCGTCACAAAATGTTCAATCAACGCGTGATACACAGTACGATACATATAAAATAATTTACCTGATGAAAATCAAATAAATTGATCGTTTTGTTTGTTGACCATTTTTTTGAATGCTACATGTGTCAATTCATTTGTCAGTTCTAACAATTCTGCTGCATGTGTGCATCCATGACATGATGATGTCCCCTCTTGTACGTTGTTAATAGACAATATTCAATCCATTGTATATATGCATCATGTTTGTTCTTTGTATTCTTCCACAACTCCATGATAAATGAATCCAAGATTTGTCACCCGTAGTCCAGTCAAGAGGTCGTGGTGTTTTACATTCAAAACAGAATGCATTTATATGATGTTTATATGCAGCTGCACATTTGAGACATAATCCAATCTCATTTCGTTCTTTTATGAGACAATACTTTCGTTGTCCCCAACGTTTATCATATGTAAATCCGATGGTAACCCAATCATCCGTGGTAAGAATGTCTGGATGCTTATCACATAACTATACATAATAATAGGTCAATAATTATGTATACTATTCAATAAACATGACGCATACGTAAATAGTTTACCTCGGCATAATATAAATTATGTATCTTATCTGTTATCTCTAGTGGAATCAATTTAACCTCACCATAAATAGGTAGACCATACAAGTATTCATACCTCCCACGAACTTCAATACAATCAAATGGAATCCATTCCAAATAGACATCGTTTGGTGATTTTGTTTGTAATTGAGACTTTTTAATAAACTCATCGAGCTGCTTATTATTGCTGGTCCATCCATCGTATAATTCTTTATGACCGCAAATGCACCATACGGGATTACATCGGAGTATTCCACATGTGGAGCAGAAACCGTATCGAGAATAACAGTCACAAAAAAGTTTATCAGCAACCATGTAATAATTATTGTAATTAGACTTGGTAAATCCGTGTATTAGCCCGTTGCGTCTCTTGAGCCACGTTTTGTATCTTCTAAAGTTATCGTCATCATCATCGTACTTGCGTGTTTGAAATGAGTATATTCTCACAAACTCGGTGTTGGTGTACATTCTTCGCTACTTCCAAGTAATAGCAATATGATGCCCTTTCCTCAATACCGCCCCCGAGCTGGCTCGCGAAGAGCGTAATAAATGTTGTCAATTTGACTTGACTCGATGTTGGTAATTTTCGAGGGAGAAATTCATTCAAGTGCATAGTCACTAGTTGCGATCAAATTGTCAATTACTGGGTGTTGGATGTCTTCGATTAACGACATGATTTTGGAACAAAAATGAGGTTGTATGACTGTAAAAGAACTTTTAGCAAAATATTTGCACTCATTGCGCTCTGTCAAACATCCCCCAGTTACGTCTTCCCCTGTGTGCGAGGTGACACCAATAAAGCGATCTCTCTCCGTAAAAGAAGTTACTAATTTCCCCTACTCTGTTTATGCCGCAGTTTATCCCACAATTCTCAAATTTATACTCATTTATTCCCTCCCCTAAATAATCAATCAAATCAGGCGCCTTACAAGTAGAGCAAGTATTTCTGTAAGGCGGAAGGAAAACACGTGTGCCAACCATGAGCAAGACACAGAAAGTGATACAAGACGGTATGTACAACATGATTAATTAGGCAATAGAAAGAAAAAGTCAAAAATGCCAGACATTATTAATAACCAATAAATTGCACGATATTATCTGTTGAATGCTACATCTCAGTTATATCCTACTCAGAATAATCTTAGTATTAGATCTAAGTGGTGATATAAACGAGGTATTACTGTGTATCAATTTGGCAAACGTTGTTTCTTATCAACGTATATTGTGTTGTACGTAAAAATGGGTCGTCGTATCTTCCGTGATAAACGTAACAATGGACTTGGTTAGAAAATACGAGGTTAGTCTTGTTTTCAATAAAAATAGGTATGGGTTTAATTCCGACAACGTGCTAATTCAGAAAATTTATCTTATGTTAACAGCAAAATTCTTCAACCGTCTCGCGCATTTAAATATATGACTTTTACATTCTCTATTAAGAATTTTCGTCTCGCCTTTGGAGATGTTTATAGGCAGACAACCAAGTTTATGAATCAACCTCTATCATGAAAAATATTAATTAGCATTAGTCTCTTTTAGCAACCGTTGAAAAAACAAAACAATCTATAATTATAACAATTGGTAATTGTCAACTTGTAGCATAGCCACTCGTCAGATTGAGTACTTATAACAAGCAAGCTTTCGTATATAATTACCTCAAATAAGTACCAACCCTTCTCTTTTGCGTTTATATTCGAGGGAAGATAATTGGTCTGGTCCATTCGTAATAATTGTAGGTTTTCTCGGATAAGCATGCAAAGAAAAACAACTAGTTGACAATTAATGACGCAAGTGGTTAGTTGCTCAAGTTTAAGATTAAAGTTTAGTCTCATTTTTAATCTCTGTTTCTGTCGAAATTTAATTCAGTATGTAGCACGTAATAAAGACCAATGACAATTGTCACAACGGCAATAGATATTATTATTATTGCGGGTCCGGTTCATTCACCGACAACGCCCAGGTACAAAATTTACCAAAAAAGGGTAATGTTGGAGAAATTTTGTCGGTCAGTCGATGAAATGATTGTCGGTGAAATGTTACATTGCTTGTCCTGAGTAGGTACCTGTTTTCAAAATCCTCGCATAGCGACTGCGTCAACTGATATTTCAATTCTGCTTCTTCATTGCTTTATTCAAACAACTCATTGTAAGGGGCTTTGTTTAGTGCGTTTTGAGCTTGGTCAAATTTGGTTGGATCTTCCGCAGCCTAATATTGACGGTAACCATTGTCCAAGGCTATTTATGGGTAAAAGCAACGGATATTTAATATTACAGCGTTTCATCATTCGATTGTACCACATCATTAACAGCTTATTTTAGTTGGCACCTAAATATATCACGTGAGTTTAATCAAGTTGACAACCGCACGAAAAAAGTTCGTCTAACCCGAGCAAAATCAGTCCTTGATACAAATTTCTAATCCATTCATTATCGTTTACCAATGTTTGCGGCTTTATGCATATGCATAATTACCGTTTAGATTGACAAAACGATCGTAATTTATAACGACGCACCAGTTTATCCATATATTCTTCAACTCTTTTTCCGCTTGCATCTCGCTTTCCAGCCAGCTCAAGCCAACCTCCGCTCCTCTTTTCCCCCTCCCTCCTTCCTCTTCTCCTCCCCACCCCACACCTCCATTTGAAATCTTACACCACGCCACCAACAACAACTTTAGCAGCATTGATTTCATGCGGAGTGTCCGACGGAGTGTATCGAATCCCGGAACGCAATTCTTCCCTCGCTAATCTTCGAAACGAAGACGAACCAATGGTTCAGATTGCATTGACTCCAATTGAAAGCCTTCCACCATCCCCTACTGTCGATAAGCACATTACGTTCGAAGCTGTGAGACTATGGAAAGGGGAACAGGTCTCGCGTTGGTTACAAGAGAATAACTTTAAAGAATATGAGGCTGTGTTTGCTGGTTAGTTTTTCTGCATTGTTTTAATGGGCGTGCGTGGAAATTGAGGGAGAGAGAACGGGGTATCTTATTTGTTAGATCAAGAATGTTTGGGGTATGAAGGCGTTCAATTCGGGAATGGAGTAGGCGATGGGATTTGAAAAGCAGAAGAGCGTAGCTATTGTGGCTTTTCATTCATGAATAGTCATTTATTACATTGGATTACACATTCTTGTTTTCTAAATACTCAATTTTCCACGTATCTTGATGACTAGAAAACGACATCACTGGTGACGTATTACTTGAGTTGGACCACCAGCTTTTAAAGGAACTCCAGATAGCATCCATTAGAGACAGGATCAAATTATTAGCGGCTATTCGTAATTTACTGAGAAGCTGTTCATTCAATTGCAGATTTAAGGCAAGCATGACCTGCAATCGTATATTTATAACATTTCGTTGCATTCACTAAAGCTCTGTACACTATATTGCGATCACAAGTTTTATCAAGATTTTCCACGATCCCCAGACTATGAATTTAAAATGCCGAATACTCCCAATAGGCCATCTTCTCTATCGTCTCGTTCAGCTGCTAGTTCACCGCCGGGATCAGCGCGTCAACCACTTTCTCCACGATCGCCTCTGAGCACAAAGGTACGATTTATATCAACTTGCAGTTTTGCGAGCAATATTGGATATGATTTTTATATGCATTTGTTCTATCATTATCAGCGATCGTCCAATGAGTTGACACCTTATGAAATGAAACAGGTAATTGTCTTTGTCTGTCCAGTTCAATAATTGTACTGTATCTAATTTATATTCATTTGGTAATTTTTAGCGATTTATCAAAGTCATTAGCGAAAATCAGACAAAAACAATAGATCTCAACGGCGTCACGGATGCAAAAGCTATATTAGCAAAGATATTGACTAAATTCAATATCAATGATGAAGCGGAAAAATATTCATTATTTACTACGGTCAGCGACACGAGCGCAGGTCCGAAGACAGTTTTATTCACATATTGACCAGCAAAATGTTCCATATGCTAATTATCTATACAATATGACACTTTTCTCAATTTACATAATAGCACGCAGTCTGACCGATGATGAAATAGAAGAAATATGCAGAGACTCGGCAAGGCCAGAACGTGACTGTCTGGTTCTACGAAAGAAACACATGCCAATACGCCACGAAGATCATAAAGAGCAATTAAAGAAAAAGAAACTAGAACATTTCTTTGGCGTAAAAGCAGAAGAGTTCGAAGGTCCAATTCCCAGCATCGCTGTAAAGCTCAAGAAATTCTTTGGACAGAGACCACCCTCAGAACTCATTTCGAACAATTTACCCGAGTACTTTCCTGGACACGACAGTGAAGCATTACAAAAGAGTGCGAGATATTCGACCATAAGAGCATCCAGAATATCAAGGCGATCTACGAGTAGAAGTTCTAGAGCATATGATAGATCATCCATGCTGTCTACCATATCATCCTTCACGTTTGTTCCAACCGACGGTGAAGATACTATTGGCACTATGGCTGAGATATCCGATTTCAAGTCTATCGAACAACCAGAGACTGACAGTTCTACGCTTATGGATGACGATATTGAATACTGGAATTCTGATGAGGAAGGAGCGGCAGGTACGAAAAAGAGAGCTAGTTTATTTATCTGCAGTCACTGCATATTTGGTCACGGGTTATAGAGTAAATTATCTAGCCGGAACGTGTTAATAGTCTTTTTACGTAGATAAGCCGCTCATGCTCAAAGCTTTGCTGCGCAAAAAATCACATGTGAATATCTCACTTACTGACGTCACCTCATATATTTACAGAACCATCCGCACCTACGTTTAGATGGATGAAAGGAGCGCTCATTGGCAGCGGTTCGTTTGGTAGTGTGTATCTTGGTCTTAATTCAGTTACTGGGGAGCTGATGGCTGTCAAGCAAGTTGAACTTCCGACCGGACAATCTGACAAGGAGGACAGAAAACAATCTATGGTAAGAGATTGTTGTTGTTTATAAGAATAACAGCACAATACATTTAGATTAACTAATTATATGACGTCTCAGTTGGATGCATTACAAAGAGAAATTTCTTTCCTGAAAGAACTTCAACACGAAAATATTGTTCAATATCTCGGTAAGGGATTTTCCCGTCTTACGTTTATGCATGTAATAACTCTTGGATACAAAAATTTATGAAACAGGCATGCGGAATGTTTGTTACCAACAGCCCGATTTAATAGACGTCAATTTTACTTATTATAATTTTTGTTTTATAGGATTTCAATACGACCAAAACTGCCTCAATATCTTTTTAGAATATGTACCCGGAGGATCACTTTCGACGACAATAAGAAATTATGGACCGTTGGAAGAACCCCTTGCCAGAATCTTTGTGAAGCAAATTTTGCAAGGATTGGATTATCTTCATCAGCGCGATATCATTCACAGAGACATCAAAGCTGCTAACATACTCGGTAAGTATTAACAGCCCGCAAGTCGAACTATAAAGATTTCAGCTACTAAATTTAAGTCTCAATTTAGTGGATAACAAAGGAGTAACCAAAATTTCAGACTTTGGTATTTCCAAGAAAATGGAGGAAGGTGAGTAACTTGCATTCCTGTATATTGTCCGTTTATTCGCTACTTTGTCGCGACTATAACTTGGCTACTCTACAATCTCATGCAGAAATCATGAGCGCAACAACGGCACATCGTCCATCTCTTCAAGGCTCTGTTTACTGGATGGCACCAGAAGTAGTTAAACAAACGACTTACACGACGAAAGCAGATATATGGTCACTTGGGTGCTTGATAGTTGAAATGTTTACTGGTGAACATCCATTCCCTACCTTGCATCACGTGCAAGCAATGTTCAAGGTATGCGTTATGATTCATAATATTATGGCTGGTCCGTTCTCTCTCCGACCTTGGTTTCTTATTCCGGGTCTTTTTTGTTAGATTGGATCTTCGTGTGCGCCTGAAATACCAGAGGATATTACAAATGATGCCAAAGACTTTTTAAGAAAGACGTTCGACCCCGACCACACGAAACGACCATCAGCAAGTGAATTACGGAATCATCCATTTGTGACATCAAACGTAAAGGGATCTCCGCAACCATCTCCGTAAGCTTCGACCAATGAGTAACTTTTTCTGTATAATTAACACATAGAAGTCAATTTACTGTGCATAAATCATATTATTTCGACACATTTATAATTTATATATTATGTACTTTACTTAATATTAAAACGGCTAATCATAACATCATATCATTTAGCACTATAAAGAGCGGCATTAATTAGGAGCGATACTGTTCATATTCAACTGCTGTCTGAATTTACACGATTAATGGGAAATTGGGGGAAAGTTTTTATTTTTTTTCTTTTTGGTTTCCAATTTAATACGCAATGTAAAATTGAGAATATCTTTGGATCAGGAAGTATATTAATATCCCGAAATTTTGCTTTTTTCAAATAATAAGACACTATTAATCTAGTCAATTTCTCTCTCAGATGCAAGTTCCCATTTTGAAAATAAATTCTCACGGCAAGCTAAATCATAGCAGCCGCGTTTTCACGTGTTACAAATAAAGTTGCCGTGGCGTGGGTATCCTTGCACTTTGACAGCTGTCAGTTTTATAAACTTGATTCTCAGCGAAACTGGCGTTTATGGATATGGCAAACTCGCCATCCCGAAACGAATTGATGAGAATCGTCACATTAGTAGTTTTCCTTCGTTGATCATGTATGGGTACGCACGTTCTCGACATTATGATATCAATTTGTACGATTTCGCAATTGTGCTTGTAATGGAAGAACTAACTCTCTTATGTTATCGAGTATTAGCAATATTCCCATGTGATAATAATATCCTAGCTGGTATATCCTAATTTTTAATTTGATCCGGATTTTCTACATACTTGATAAATTTAGCAGGATTACCTGCTACCACAGTATATGGCTTGACATTCTTTGTGACGACAGATCCAGCACCAACAGTTGCCTACAACAAGTATAATCAATTACTGCGCGCATTCAGCGAACTGTCAATCATTATTGAAATGATAATTTGCAATGTACCCCATCTCCAATCGTAATTCCCGGAAGGATAATTGCACCACCTCCAATCCACACATCATTACCAATCTATCAAAACTATTTTCGTCAGTCGTGTGCGTGTCGTTAAGAGGAACAAAAGGGGTTGTGGGGCATCTGAATTTTCCAAGTCTACCGAGTTGGGCAGTGATTGCTCCTACCTTGATTGGATATGCCGATCCAAAGTCCGCCCTTAATCTATCAGCAGGGTTAAGAGAATGTGTTGCTGCATACAATGAAACGTTTGGTGCAATTCGTACCCTATCTCCAATCTCGACCACGTTACAGTCAAGAATAGTCTGACCAAAATTGGCATAAAAGTTATCTCCAATACGTATATTATACCCCTATATATATATATATACATATATATATATACCAATGTTAACATTATTTTTCAACATCATCAGAAAATGTTCTATATAAAAATATGGACAGACAGACATAATCACAATAAAATGGTGGCATAATTTCAAAGGCTTTTCCGATTGAACCGAATAGCTCTCTTATAATCGTCTCTCTTTCGCTAATGTAATCATCTCTGCTCGGATCATTGTTATTAAACTTATACATCAGTACACGAGCTCGTCTACGATCGGCTATGAGTTCTGGAGTATTGGCATCGTATGGTAAGCCCGCTAAAGCCTTTTCTTTCTCGGTAAGATTGGCGGGATCTATATCTTTTGGTATAGACATGGTCTTACTACAAGTAGGTTAGAAGGAGAAAGACGGAGAACTAACCCCAGCAAAATTGTCTCAATTAACCAATGAGCGGCTTAAAAATTTCGTGTAATGTGCAGATCGTTTGTCTTCCTAATTAGATTATTTTGCTGATAATTTCTAAGCAGGGATTTACATCCTCTCACGGTTGAATTATCGATAGCAATAATCGACTTGGCACCTCCCGTTATTGCTAATGCCAACTATAGTTGTTATTGATTAATATGATTATAATTACTACTAATGAATAAATTTCCATAACATTACTATTAATAGAATTAAACTTTAAACAACGAAATATCATTGCATTGTTATGTTATCGTTGTACTATCTCGCTTACAATTAGTTTTGTTACACTGAACATGAACAGAGAAGTCTCAATATGAAGAAGATATCTTAACTGAAGATATCTTTGTTACGAACAGACAACATAGTCGATGTACTTATACTTTACAGACCTTCTTTTGTTCGATACTATTGTTGAAATGTACATAATTGAAGTAAACGCATTATAAACGTTAAACAAAAAACATCGCTCTAAAGCGCTTGTTGTAATAAACTTTTTGCTTGTATTTTGCTATCGTTGTTACTTTGGTTTTTTTTTTCGTTGTCGTTCGTTGTTATTTCTTAATTGCTTTAGTGGTCGTTCTTATCATACGAGCTTTGGTGGAATTTGCTTTCATCGTACAAGTGATTGCAATAGTAATATTATTAGTGGTAGGACTAGAAATTACAGTAATTTATTCATGAGTAGTAATTATAATCATATTAATCAATAACAACTATAGTTAGCATTAGCAATAACGGGAGGTGCTAAGTCGATTATTGCTATCGATAATTCAACCGTGAGAGGATGTAAATCCCTGCTTAGAATTTATCAGCAGAATAATCTAATTAGGAAGTTCAAAATAAACACCTTTCCAGAGAGGAAATCTGTACACTCCACAAACTCATTGGTTAATTGAGAAAATTTTGCCGAGGCTGCTGGGGTAGTTGAGACAGAGAGAAAGAGAATTAGGATAATTAAATTTAGTTTGAGGATTTTAAAATAGAAGGATCATCGCATTTTAGTGTTGTTGATACAACGTCTACTGCACTGCTGCACTGCTACTAGTGGCACATAGTCATTTTCTACTACTTAGTTTAGGCACGGCGCTCTTGTAGGCAAGAGTTTATTTGAATGTTTGCCCCCCCACCCCTTCTCGAGATGTGATAACATGTCGTTAGAGTAGAGCTATCCACGTTCACCTTTCCAAGTAAAAGCGTCAACGTTGTTAAGATGTCCTTACGTCCAGACGCTTGTCAGGATTAGACGTACGTTCACAACATCCATCCTAGTAAGTTTCTTCGATGGCAGAGTTTGACATAATTTCTGGTGGCACCACGCGCTGTTGTCTATTCGCACTAATCAGTATGTGCAGTTCCAGTTTCAATCTCATTATATCGTCAACGTCCGCGTAGTCACATATGCAATGTTATTGAGTGGTTATGATACCAATTATCCAAATATTATTTAGAGTCAATATCTCTGGATTATTCAATTAATCACTACAATAAACACTTGAACTTCAGTAATACCACTTTTTATCAAATAGTTTACCTGATAAAAGTCAGGCACGAAATCATTCGTAATCGATTTGCCGAGTGATCACAACTGCAGTTGTTTACTTCACAGACTAAACTCTAACGGTCAGCTACATGCGTACGTCTTTGGATCGGTGTCAATTCCTGCATCTTGCTAACTTGTACACCCGCCTATGACATATGTTAGCGAACAGGTTCTCCTGGTTTTATTTGTGAATTAGGCTCATCCGCTACAATAGACGAGACCACTTTTTCAAAAACCTTTTCACTTGTGATGACGTTGTACCGTCATTGCGTGCGTGTATGTCTCATCCTCGCCATCGTCCATATATTAAGAGATCTTATATCTCAATCACACCATCGCTATGCCGAATTTGTGCACCAAGATGGGAAATTAGCATGTGAGGTGACCAAAAAGTCGAATTATATGGTAAAGACTGTTTAACATGACATGCAACATATCAGCCAACTGCATTGCATTGCTTCAACGTGGTTCGTACAACACAGAAAGGCCCATTTGTAGTTTTCGTTTTACCTGCCCGAATGCACGTTTTACACAACGTTATGCTGTATTACGGTTAACATTGAAATAATTACCTTCTAATTCATATGATATAACTGAGCTGAGGTAGTTGATGTAGAATACGGAAAGTTATAGAATGCGGAAAGTGATGGGAGACGAGAATTCAAGCCCTTATAGTGTTAAACTATGATGTTAAAGATATGATGATTCGATGTCAGTATCATCAGTATTAATGGAAAGGGCTTCAAAAAATGACATGGTTTTTTTGGGAACAAAGAAAATGTGTCCCAGTTATTATTATCCCGTATTACAATATATCATTATTATCTAAACAATGCGGGTGTGTTACTAAGCCTTTTTTTTTTCACCAACAATAACAATTATTTACCTCGGTTACATCCATCCTGATCGCTGATTGTTAATTAGGTTCAACAACCAGCCCAGGCTGATCATCATTTCACCAACGAAATTGACTGACTGAGATATCACACGACAAATAAATCGATAAATAAGATAAAAGGGTGAAAACTCGCATCGGAGAAACGTTTCATGGTCATGATAAGCAACTGCAGCAACACAACACAACAACAACAACAGCAACAAAAACAACAAGAATAAACAATAAATATACCATTATTGTATAAATATGTCGCTGTATGTTGTGAGAGTATGAAAGAGAAAAGAGAGAGAGAGAACAATGAGTTTCAAAGTTGGGATATTAATCAATTCAGACTAGTACAAAGAAACTTGCCACAACAGCTACATGAAACTTATTATACTTACCCAGTCGAGCATCCCACTGATCGTCAAAGCAACACTGCAGTTCTTTAAAAGTCAACAACTCTTGGACGTAGCGGAATTGTCCGCTGGTAAGATGGGACAAAAAACCTGTTGTAACGAGTAAGACATGTAACAACGGGCGTAGACTTGACCATATAACGCCAGTTGCAGAACAGGAAAACTATTAATTCTTTTTTTCAATGTATTTCTATATATAATGGCATGCATCAAATGGGCTTTTTTTTGTAATCAGGTCTGATCAACAAGCCCATATCTATTTACAATGCAAAACCTGTATAGACTTTTGGCCAGTGCTGCAATTCGCATGTACCGTAAGCCATTTATTGCGTTCATAAAAATACAGTTTTAATTAATCCATTTTTAACATCCATTAAATATATTAATTAAATTTTATCTTGTCCGGCGGTCCGCCCATCATTGTTCATCCTGTTTTTGTAATACAAGTATAAAAAAAACTTGTCCATTATGTAAACTTGTTACGGATAATGTGCTAAAAAAAAAGTGTGTCCGGATACTCTGTTGCGTGAGAATGTGTAAAAAAGCATTGACCAGCTACCCAATTTAATATGATTTGCTTCATATTATGTGTCTCTATTCCATTCCATAAGTAACAACTTGTTTATTGAAAAAAGCATATCGCTCTTGTATATACAGTATAAGGAAAACACTACAAATACTAGAAACAGTGCCACGCTTCATGCTTCATGTTTAGCCGCAAAGAAAATGTACAAATGAAGATATACTTTAATATCTCAGAGATGTCTACAAAAATGCGAAATGACGAATGACCTTCGAATAAATATCTACGAAAACGAACTAGTGAAGAATGTGTCGATGCGTAAGATGATGGAAAGCAAGGAAAAAAAGAAGTGTTGTTGTTTGTTTGTTGTTTGTTTGTTCGTGTGTATGTGTTAAATTGTAAGGGTTAAATTGTATAGGGTTACTGTTATACTTTTGTAAATGTTTTTCATATAAAAATTAGCTTAAGAATGCTTCTGCAAGAAAGCAATATTAAAAAAATTCTTATTAATTCATTAGTCTTGTAATCGTCATCTTCTTGCAAAAGAAAACTTCAACTAAATTTACTAATCTACAATATAATCATAGAGATGTGTGTATGTGTATCTGTATACTTTTGTCATAGAATTTCGATGTTCGTAGTATTTAACCAGCTGAAATGTCGAAATAATAGGAGAAAAAAAACAAAGACAAAAAGAAAAAGAGAATAATAAAAAAAAAGACAAATTTAGTTTCTACAAACAAGTATAATACAAACAACCGAAATAATATTCCGGTTGAAGAGGTGAGTGTCTATGGCAAAGATAATAAATATAAAATAGTCCCATTCTTTAGTTCGATATCGATCGAGGCGAATGTATGGATGATGAGATGAGAAAGCCCGTGCAATGTGTGTGATTGGCATGATTACGCCAAGAGGCTGGTTTCACATCGTATCAAAGATCTATTATTAAATAATGGTTAAGAATTAGTCATGGGGATACGAAACCGGAGACAATCCGCATGAACAAAATAATAACTGATAATGAGCAGACGAGACGAACCCTAAACCCCCAAAAGCAAAAACCCTAAACCCGATGCTTTTTTAGCCCACACAACATAACAATTACTTACCCAATCTTCGAAAGGCTTGTCTTCACTATAAACCGATCCCTCGTCGTTATTGATAAACTTGACAATCCAATCTTCCCATAGTGACTCATCTATCAAATCGCCCATCTTTAGCAATTCTGCAGACTGGCTACTCTCCGTTCTTTCCCTATCGCTCGTTCGACTGTATACCATCTCACGAGCGTTCTTCCATGCGACTTGTTGGTCGTTCTCCGTCTGAGACGTACGCTCGTTACGATTTATGGGATGGTGATGTTCTGCTGTTGCTGCGTAGCTGCTGTTGCGGGAATGTGAAAGAGTTCTCTCGCATGGCTTGAATTCGAGATTGTAGACAAGCCTGTTGTGTAGAGAGCAGACAGTGACCTGCGCTGCCGTGACATCGGGTTGAGAAGCGTCTGTGGTAGATGGATTGGATTGGAGGGGTGGCCGTTTCTGGCAGATGCTCTGTTCATACCAATTCGAATAGTAAGACATTGTGATGAGTGAGGAGGGGATGATGTATGTGTACTTTTTTTTTTGGTTGCTCTCTGATAAAAGATTCAAGTTTTGGTATGTAATTTTTTTGGGTATTTTTGTTTGTGGTGAGAAAGCAAGGTGAGAAGGGTGAGAGCACATTTATATAACCGCGTGCAGGACGATCTCAAAGAGTAAGTTGAAAGGTATGGATGTGTAACTTTGCAACTGTACTGGGCGCAAGCTGCAGTCAGTCTCAGAATTGATTATCTTACAAATACCGCATTACACCGTATATAGATACATATAAAGAATATACTGTGTAACAAGAGTTATTTATACATCTATTGTATTCATTCTTTCGACTGTTGTCCGCGCCACACACAACGCAGACAACGCAGATGGCTCTCTGCATTGGACATTTTTCAAGGAACATGATCGACAATGAACGACATATATGTTTAATCAGAAATTCTTGAGAATAATAGTGACATTCTGATCATTTATTTCGTAACAGTGATTTCATGCAATATATCAGACTCATTTATGCTCATTTCCTCCGTAATAACCCAGAAGGGCGCAGAAACGGAACAAGTAGGATGAAAAGGAAAAAAGTTAGATACACAAGTAAAACGGTGTAACAAAACCATAATCCCATTTGTTTGCACAGATTTATACATTTATCAGTACAAAATAGAATAGTATTCTTATTGGACTGCTGTTCATCCGGACAATCATATGTGTGTTACGAAACATGGGAGAGAGAGAGAGGACCCGCAGATTGAACACGAATCTCTCATGTCGACCATGTCTACTTTTAGAACAGAGGATGCCCATCGTATCGGCATGTAAATTCTTCTTTTTGCACAAGGCAAAAAAAAAAAAAAAAAGAGGACGATCATTGCCCTTCTTTCAAATGCTGTTCAAATTGCATGTGACTGAAAAGAGCTGGAACTCGAGAAACTATTGTTTCAGATGTGGTAATAGTGGGCCGAACCCTAAATAAAACCCCGTGTGACTAGAAGATCATATTTATACGTATGGTATAGCGCCGTATTTTAGGTCCGTTTGACCGGGTTGCGTTGGTCAGGTGATGAATGATTCACCCGACATACTAATCAATAGGCAAAAGAACGTGATAGTCATTATATGTGATGTGATGAGAAGAGAAGGGAAAAAAAAGGGGGGGGAGAGAAAGGGGTGGTGAGTAGTGGGTGGTAGTGGAGGAAGAGAAGGGAAATTGCAAATGCGATGCAATGAATGGAACCGTTATATCATAGTCGGTCGAAAAGATGCGCAGGAAATGAAATCAAAGTTTATCGAGTTACAAAAGTCACACAATTGATGGGTTCATTCTCATTACAAGAAAATCGTTCCGCGCCCAATAAAGACATGGGCTTTTTATTTATTTGTTATTGTTCCACCTTTCAATTTTGTGTGTGTGTTATGTGTGTATGTTGTGTGCGTAGTGGCCTGAGCACCCTCGCTCTTTCTTTTCCCATAAAAATATGCTGCTGTAAAGGTTTGAGATTGTAAAAGTGGCTTGGTTTAACGTGTTTAAATTGGAAAAACCTGATTGCGACAAAATCGCATGCAGTAAAGCATATGATTGCAGCAGCAAGTAGATGTGTTTTTCTTTAAAGTGGATGGGGCAATGGACAATGACTTTTTACCTATCAACAACGATGCAATATGATAATATACACATTAGAGATTTCATGTGTTTTGGGATTGGGAATTGGGAATTGGGAATTGAGAAATTGGCTATAACGAAATTCAAAAAGTATGTTTTTCTTTTACTTTAAGTAAACGCTATCTGTCGAATTGGCTGCTTTTTTTCTCACAAGCAAAAGTTTACAAGTTTACGACAAGCTATCTGTATACTGATATATAGACGATTCTTTCGCATAGGTTACGCTAGTGGAGGCGTAGCTGAATGTGTCACCATCCCCTGATCTCCCTTGCTTTGTGGGCCCCAATCCGAAACCTATTGAAAGTGCCTTTTTTACATACCCAACACTGCATGGCATTGGTGATGCCCTCAACTAGTTTACGCTCTCTCTCTCTCTCTTTCTATCTCTCTTTCTATCCTTTGCTCTCACTCTTTTCTCGTATGTGCGTGTGTCTTTCTCTAGGATTATGGTGTGAAAACAAACGTTTTTATCATAGTACCACTAATTGATAATAGATACACCGTATACAAATATATCGATATATTTGAATAGCCTGTCAGTTCAAAGGTTGGCTGATTGTTCTGATCAATCTTTTTTCTCTATCATATATCAGCAACACATGAAAAGAATGCCTTGTGTAATAATCCCACAAAAACAAATTACCATGTTCGGCAAAAGTTAGATTCCAGTAGTGCTATTATTAATATAAATTCTCCACTAATATTTGTAACATGAAATATGGAACGACTGGTTTTTTTTTTCTCTCGATTCGCTTGGGGGTCTGGGGATATGACAAATCAGTCTTTTCTTTGACGTACGAGGGCGGAAGATGCCTTTCGAGAGATGATCTTGACAACAAACCGATAAGATTTGCATTTGTATTACGAATGATGCTGATTAGATTTATCTTGTTTATACAGTATTTATATTGTTAGAGAGCATATATTAATTGAAATATAAGACTTTCCACCCCTTTTTTCTTTTATTCTGCAACGCCAATAAGACCATACTTAAGAACAAGCGTTCGGGTTCTTCGTCGAGAGGAAGATGACAACTATTAGAAAGTAAAGTTATTGATGCCAATAACGGGAATTTGTGAAAGCCTCATTTACGCCATCATCTAACTAAATATATGATTGTGCAACGGTGATTATAATTATATTTTCGCCTTATCGTTGTGGCCACATTCCCACAGTAAATAGAATAGATAACAAACTGAACGATGACGTCGTCAATAGTGCAATACGCGCCACTTGTGTCGTTATCTTGTTCTGCTAGATGACTTTTTTTGGTAACCCGTCCTTACCCATTATGTTTAACTTTGTGATTCCGTAATTTGACACAATGGTCAACTTTTGGATATGGATAAATTGTCATAGGTATTCTTGTTAATGATGCAAATGAATGATACAATTCCGGTGGTTGGCAAAATTCATTTTCAAATCGTACCGGCATGTAAGAGCGCAGATTTCTATACTTGGATACGGCTGACCATGGGAATTTAACCCGTAACGTAGAGAAGATTCACTTTACTATCGATTATGGGGTGAGAACTTGTAGTTCAGACATTTACAACTAGGCCTTGTTATTAACTGTATTAGTATCATTGTTCAAAATATTTAACACTCATTTGTAAAGAAAGGAGGGAGTTGTCGTATGAAATCAAATCATATGGTATATACCAAGATGGAAATGACGTTTTGAGTGCCGAAACATACTTGAATTTGCCAAGAAAAACTCAATCAGTCATGTTTACGACGTTCAAGTTTTAACTCAACGTTTCTTTATTATTACTTGCGATGTTTGCAAATGTAAATCTTTTCTAATATACTATTTATTTACTCTCGCAAGCGTATTCTATACTGATAGGTAATTAAGTGACTGCGACAAATATGATCAAAGTGATGATGAATAAGTTACATACCGTATTATCACCACCAGCATCTGCTGCTATTTTCACAACAATGCCATAATGGAAGCTTGATACCTATTGTCATGATTGATTATGACAGCTTCAAGAGTTATTATCTAATAACATGTCACTATCGCGTGGCCTTGTAATATTTGCACATGTATGTAAGCAACTTTGGAACTTACATATTACAGTTACTTAATTTGTTCTTGGCTTTCACATTAAAATAGATATCTTTGTCAACGATAGACCAGTTTCTAAAATTAATTTTTACTTGCATGGAGCAAATTCAAAGATCAAAGCCGAAACCCACGATACGTGCTTACTGCCGAAATGTCAAATCTAACATGTGTAATTGTGTGTCCCTCCCTCGTTACCATTAGCGAGAAAAAAAGATAATCGAGTTCTAAATAAAGCGAAATTATAAAGTGGTGAAACAGACTTTTGTCAAGTGAATGGACAGTTCTACTAGCAATTTATTAATATGTTAATATAAGCAAGCATTATGACCTATACTTTTGCCAAATTAACACTTTAACTTGCTATTTAAATTTAGATTCTATGCGAATGACACAAAGCCAATTAATTATTTAATACCAATCACATTCAAACAGACATAAATTTGCTAGATAATGTTGTCACGCACGCACGCACGCACGCGAATGGCTGATTGCTCTGTTTTGCAACATTTCCCCGCCCGCCAAGAAATAATCTTTCTCTACTAGGGAAAGCATTTTCCTGTTAATTAGCTATCATGGGATAAATGAAATAATTAAATTTTACTCACATGAGGGAAAATGAGAATCTTAGATGTTTGAAATTCCGGTCACCTGCTATCGGTACTCGAAGTTTTTCGGGGAATTACATCTCTCTTTTTTTGGTTATCGGATATCGAATCTATCATCGCAAATGAGCATATTGATAAGCTGATACGATACGATACGATACGTTTTTCCTAAACGGGAGGAGACGGGATGGGGAGGGGAGGGGGGAGTGTTGAGTTTGAAATGACATTAAATTAAGACAATTTCGTGATATACTAATAACAGCCGTTCCGTTTGTGGTTCAACATTATGGTCATATGAAATATAGTCCATAAAAGACTACGTTCATCAAACTATAACAATCAACAGTTATTGCCTTATGATTACATGATTAATGTATGACAAGTAAAAAGTCGTCACTTCACATGACTTGTAAATGAAAACGACTTTTCGTCATTATGCATCCATTTTCTTTTTCAACGGAATGACCAGGATCCAATGAAGGAAAACCTAATGACAATCAGTTGATTGTGTTAATAAAAGAAAACGGGTCAGAGGATAAATTTATACATTTGCCCATCTTTACGGATATGAGTGGGTGAGTGGAATAAGTGGATAGATGGGTAAATGGGTAAGTGGGTATCGATATGGGTACGGGTATGGATATGGGCATGGGTATGGGCATGGGTATGAGTAACCCGATTCGATTAACCCGTTTTTGATCTGCTGATAAGCGATAGTAAAAACCGAACATATTATTTGTTAACCAATCGAATCAAATTACAATGATTTTCATCGCCAAATGTGATCATTTTCATTTCCACACGCACTTGGGACATGGCTAAATAAAGAATGCAATACAGTGGTCCATGCGACACAAACGATATTACGCAAGACGAGATAATACTTTAAATAGAAAAGTGTTTAAATACATATTAGGATTTCATTGTTGTTTTTGAAAGATGTATACAAAAATGGCGGCAACATTTATTTCAACTACTTATCCAAATTATAAGATAGAGCGCCCATTACACATATTTTTGTTTATATTGCTGTTACAACAAATATATCACTAATTAACAACACTCTATTAAATACACGAATATTTACAATACAAATTGCAAGAAAGGGAAAAGAAGCATATGCTGATGAAAACAAACAAGAAAGAAAAAGTAATGGTATTGAATTATTTGTAAGAAAAAAAATAATGCAAAGAATTGTAATAATAAATTTGATCCAAAACCAAAAAACCATCCCAAATTCCGAACAGCGAACAACGTATTTGGAAATTGACATGACCCAGATTAAAAAAGACCATATTAAAAGACCATAAGTATTAAAAAGACCAGAATTACCTCAAAAATCAACATCTATTTTTAAACATTTAAACGCATCCTAGTTTGACGTTTCGTTATTGTCTAGTTCTATGTCTACCATTTCTTCCGTATCTTCCTGATCCGATTTTACAGCCGCCGCGTTTTCTTCGGAATTAGTCTCATCAGCGTTTATCAAAGTGCTGGTTCTACTGCTTTCGACTGTAGTTGTCGTGACGATGGTAATGATTGTCGTATGTACTGGTATGTCTAGAGTCATCCGTGAGCCTTCGTTAATGGTCATTCGACGTTTGATGGTTGGTATGATTTCGAATACGGGCTTTACTGAGATGATGTTGCGAGTTATACCGTATATTGCTGCATTCACGGTTCCGGCAGACGTGAATATGCAAGCTGCGACTACCAGGCTAATTTGTATAGATGGATAATAAACCAATTGTTGGTTAATATGCGCTTATGAATATATACACAGACAATCGTTTCGTAATGCTTTTCTTGTTTGTACTTACTATTGTGGAGGGAAATCCTTTCCTCCTATCTCAGCCAGTCGTTCTGTATAAAAATTTCATGCGTGCGTTAGTTGAGAGATTACAAGACGGCGTAGTTTACCAAGCAAGTACTGAACTGTTGACCATAACCACATAACCGCAATTATAACCATAATCATATAAACTTCCTACTTACGTAAACCCAAGGGCAATACTAGCATTATATAGACAAACGGATACCAAATCAACTTTTTTGCGACGTTCTGCAAAACCTTGTTACTTCTATTCACTTTGCGGAGAGCCACTTGCTTCTTGTACAGCACGATAAACATCAATATGTATATTAACAACATTGCAGTTGCTATGAACAAAATCAGTCCGTAATGAAACGCAATACGATATATCGAGTGTTGCTCAGATATCCAACACCACGATCCGGCTCGGTTAAAGAACGGTACCGTCGGTGTTGAAATTAAAAGACCAGATAATGCGATAAAGATATTTAACGGCCATATAATAATCATTGCTACTGGAACTAAATTTTGGTGTTCGTACGAGTGGACTACGAGAAAGTACGAGTGAATGCAGATCACCATTGCCCAGAAGCCTTTAAAAAAAAGAAAAAGTAGAGATGAGATTCCATTCACCAAGGCGAGAGCTTCAATTCAACAAGACGAGAGACTCAATTCAACAAGACGAGAGACTCAATTCAACAAGACGAGAGACTCAATTCAACAAGACGAGAGACTCAATTCGACAAGACGAGAGACTTAATTTGACAAGACGAGAGACTCAATTCGACAAGACTCTTCCGTACGTACCTGATGCAACATCCCCAATATTAATCATTATGCCCTGAGCATTACAATAAGTTCCCGGCTCAATGGTGTTGATTGCTAACCAACGGTAACTCATCATAAATCCGACACTTTGTATGAAATCCGATATGGCCAGATTTAACAACAGTCTGCTAATTACTTGATGTGCGTGTGTTCTGTACACTATACAAAATAACATCACTATACAAGCAAAATTGCTCACTGTGCTAAAAGAGCAGACCAATTTTATTCCGTCGGTATCCAACGCCTTCGCACCGTCTGATGATGGATATGACGGGTCCATCACGATTTATGTGGAGGGGAAGACAGTAGTTGAAATGATGGGTAAAGAGTGTATGAAATGCTATCAATACCAGGATAGCAATTTGTTTGAATTCGTAAGTACCGCAAAATTGATTGATTATTATTAAAAAAAAAAGCGAGCCGATGCGATGGCGGGGGAGGGGGGGGATGTGTACTAAGCAAAGTAAAAAAAATGGAGCGGAAAAAATGTTTATTGCCGAAGTATCTATATATTTATATCGGGGGGAAAAAAGTGTTAAAAATGGATAACTAGAACCATAAACTATAGTTACATTAATGTATTCTTTTGGTGTAATATTAATCAAATCATACGACACGTTTGGGTTACAGATTTCAATACAATACCCAACAATGTGGATGAGAAGTGAAAAGCAATCATGGTTTAACCCCCAAATTCGTAAGATCATTACGTACGTTATATGCGGACGGGTACTTTTGAAACTTGACACAAGCGAACGATTAAACAATCCATTGGTTAGGATTGTTAAAATCCCTGCTATACTAATCCATCGACTTCTACATTGATCGTTATTTGTGTCCTACTAATTTATATTGTAGTATAGTGTACGAAACAGACTTGTCAACAAACATACTATTATGTGTGTTCTTTTGTTCTCTGTTCAACTTTCTTCCATTATTCCTATTTTTTTTGTTTCTTGTGTGACCCGGAGGCAGCTCCTCAAAGTTGAAACGTTTGTTAGCCTAATAAGGATAGTTCGGTACATGCTGATCGAATGTAATAAGCGAGTTGGCTAAACGGTTAACAATTAGCATTTTGTCGGTGAGTGGAGTAGAGTGGAGTAAAGTGGTGGTGACCTTAACCATAGACGTTCATGAAAAAAAAGAGTATGTGTATGGTGGATGTTGGAAAACATTAATCTAAAGATAACAATTGTTAGAAGCGAAGAAAAGAACAGAGTTTGGAAGTTTGCATTAAATTTAAGGGTTAGTGATGATTTGAGGGTTGGTCACACAGCATATTAGAAATATATATTGTGGCATCGACAATAAATTAAAAATTTCCAAATAGTCAATTAAGAATGCTATTTGATGACCAAAAACTGAAACAGCCATCAAAATTTAGCAATACCCTGAATACACACAATATCAAGAAAGTTCTCAAAAGCGGGCATTTGTTTTGACAATCGGAATCTTTTTATTGTTCATTTCGAGAGAGGAACGAGGATGATGTCATGTCGTTGGTTGGTTTTGTCGGTAGACATTTCGTATGGTTATGACGACAGATGTGATCATATCGAAAAACTTGGAGTTTACACTGACACTACACTACACTACACTCAACTCGCAGTTTCCTAGCATTACGCACAAAACGTAGACGGGTTCATACATAAAAGTCCCGCCCTGTCTTCCCGATGGCACAAGCCCTCTCACTCTATTATTATGTGTAATATAACTGAAGACGGAAATAGTTTACGCTACGCAACACCTGCTTATTTTGCTTTATTTACATTGCAAATATTTATCATGATTTAAAATAAATCCACTTTTACACTTGGACGTTGTACTAACCCCATCATAATCAACACCAAGATTTTCTGTAAACACGGAAAACCGAACCGGAATCTTTTTTTTTTTTTTTTTCGTCAAAAGAAAAGACATCCCCATTTTTTGCTTTGCAAGTCACATGGTTATACAACAGTCTCTCGCATAAGGTTAATCCCGAATTTGATGCAAACGTATTGTGTAAAATGTAACTATTCGTTCTGTCCTTATGTGTAATCCTCCCAAAGCTCGCAAAGATAAGGTTTTTTATTTGGACATTCAAACACAATTGCAAAAAGCATAACAATCTGCGTGTGACAAACCGGAATTATTGTTGCTTTTCTCAAACATGTTGTGAGAATACTCCTTACCTATCGATTATACCTAACTATTGTATAATCAGTTTGGGGGTTCCATGTCTTATAATCTAGAAGTAAATAATTCACATTGATTCTTCTTCCAACTTCCTTTGTGTGCCTATCCGTATGGTATTTATAGTGTTGATATAATTAACGATAATATACCGTGTGAACAAGATTGTACCAAGATGGAGACATACGCTTTTGACGCTCGTGTTTAAATACGTATTAGTAAAGTATTAATGTTAAACGTAGTTATAAATAACAGTTTATCTTATCATTCGTAGGACAAGTCACTAGACCCAATGATAATTCAGAGATAAGCGGGCAGGTTGTTCTCCGCATTGACAAAATAATCCATCAAGTCTGTCAATATTTTAATGCAGGATCATAATTAATTGATCAAGACTTAATTTGCCTGCTTAAACCAAATATGGTATGTCGTAATATATCTATAACAATTTTCACTCGGGAATATTTATATGCTTACAAATAAAAGATAAATTTACATTCACAAAAAGTTCTCTTGCACATGATTCTCATACGCTCGTTGTAATGTTTTGTAATAGGAATTTCAAGATCGCTTTAACGAGGTACTTGCTTTTAGTAGATAGTTGAACAAGCATATGTTTAGAAACATCGTTTACATTTATTCGTATTGAGACTGTGTCCTACATCGTAACAATAATAGAAAATTCGGCAATTTCCGCAGTACATAACATGCGGACAAATAACAGATTGTCTTTAAGAGAAAAAAAATAGACATATTGATATTAGTCAAGTACCAACGAGATATGCCTCCATTCAACGCTTATTTACCCAAGATATCAAAAAGCGTAAAATTACGTGCTACATTAATCTTACCATATCATTACTAAAAAGTTATTACTCTAATCTGTTAAAAATATTTCCATAACAATAATAGCTATTGAAACATTATTCGTGAACTGCATGATTAGCTTTGAAAACCAAAGACGTTATGTGGTTAAAAAAAAAGCTGGTAGTCAAGAACTTTAACGAGAATTAGTGCCGTTCATTGATTCTGCAAAAACTGCTTAAACTTTAATTTAAAAATAACAATCGATGTGCAAAGCACCAATCTCTGCAAACACTGCATGTTCAGTTAATCTTACACCTATCGTCTTTTCGCGCAATATGTCATTAAAATCTAAAAGTGCTTACAAAGTTATGCTAAAGGCTTTTTTGTTGACGTAAGGCCGAGAGAGTTAAGGTCGTGGTTACAGTTAAGCACTCCATTCATGCTACATTACGTCTTTTATGGAATGTAGGTCAACAATTAAAATATTTAGTTCTGAACAAACTTGGGACAAGTATTTTTAACCGTGTTAATGTATCGAATACTGATAGCTTTTACAACCCCTGTCAATCTATTGGTTAATGGTCAGTGAGTGTACTTACAGAGAAAGCAAAGGAGTAAAAGCTTGGCTCAGTTGTTAATAATGCTGGTCTTTTTAGATAGTCGTTTTGACGATGTAAGGCTGAGTCAACACGTAACTTAATAGGTTGCTACGTATTATAATATGTTATCTACCTGATACTTTATAAGACTCTAAATTGTCATCACTTGCAGATAATGCGATTCCATTGTTGAGCGAATAAAGCAAATTTTATAAATATCGTGATGCGATAATTTATTACCTGTGATTTGCATTACACGACACGAAGTTGTGATGGAACTATGCAGGCGGCATAACATACCAATCAATACAAGAATAACAACCAAATGATAATGATATCACCATTGCATTAGAAGGAATGCATAATATTCCATTAATCGTGTGTGCTATCGCTGCTACTAAGAAAATAGAAATATAAATCAATTACAGTAGGACAAGTTAGTCTCCATCAAGTTACACGACACGGAAATCCGCAGATAATGTCGTCTCATCTCCGATCTATGTTTAAGATCTATGTTTCGATCTATGTATTAACAATGTCTCGAACATCTTACAAAGAATGGTTGGAGACAAGCATCGATGAAGGCTCAATCTATTGCTGCCCAGAAGATGGCATAGAACTAGACCCTGTACACATCGGTCACGGAGCGTTTGGGGTGATATTCAAGGCAACGATAAGGCAGAAAAACGGTATTGGAAACATCGTCGACGCCATCTTGGGCAGAAAGCCTGGTATTTTCTCTGGAACGACTGTCGCAGTGAAGATTCTGCTTCCAGACAGACATGGAGATTGTGAAGAAGATCTACATCAACAATTTATTAAAGAGGTTGTCTATCATTATTTGTTATGCTCGCCGCATTACTTTGGATATAGATTAATTCGAAATTAATGTTGTCCAATAGCTAAAACACCACAGGGAAGCAAACAATCATCCCAACATTGTCCATTTTTTGGGTCTATACAAAGGTATGTCAGCAAAGGCCAATCTATTTACTTACTATTACGAAGAATAGCTTTTTAACCGCTATCATACTTTCAAGACAAACATGAGAATTATCATATGATGTTTGAATTCGCTGACGGTGGAAGTTTGCGTGAGTATTTAAGAAAAAACTTTAAAGATTTGACTTGGGAAGACAAGTACAAGCTGGGTTTGGAAATTACCAATGGACTAAAATATTTACATAATCTTGATATCATTCACAAGGATTTGGTATTTATCGCATAACGCACACATTCGATTAGTATCTTTTGACTCGTATTGGTCTTAAGCTCACACATGCGTTTGTTTTCTAGTCATCGAGTAACATCCTTATCAAATCGGGCGTTGCAAAGATAACTGATTTCGGGTTATCGAGCGTGCTGAAACAAGCAATGTCCAAATCACGTGGAGATGGCGCTCCAGCATACAAGGATCCGCTATCTTTGATGGACAAGTCTTATAAACGTGGAAAAAAATCCGACATATTTAGCCTTGGTGTAATACTATGGGAAATATCCAGCGGCAAAAACCCATGCGGAGAGCTTACGGAAACTTTGGACATTCTGGTGTATAGGCTTAACGGCTCTCGCGATTCCCCATTTCCTGGAACACCTGAAGAATATATTACCTTGTATTCAGATTGTTGGGACGAAAATCCCGACAAGCGACCATTGTGCGCTAAAATTTATACGAGACTGGAAAATTGTTCTCAGGTAG